TGAATCTTGACAAAGGCAAGGGTTTCCTGCCGAAACGTTGATTGATTGCAATGGAAAATAAAGTCTAGTTCCACATGTAACATATCTTTATTGAACCTAAACCCAAGAAATATTAATTTTATATTATATATATATATATATATATATATATATATATATATATATATATATACCGGTATTTAGGCGACACGCCCTTCCGGTTGGGATTTATGGAGGAGTATTACCGAGCCGCAAACCCTTATCTCTTGCCGTACTACTCCACCATAGGCTGATCAGACACCAGCATATTCTAGTCTTAGCCGCAGATTCATCTAGAATTTTAAACTGCTGCGTTAGCTTTTTTATTTTTCTGTACACCGAGCTGGGGCTTGAACTCACATCCACTGAATCATTCAACAGTGAAGCGAATGAGAATCGGCCGCCTAGCCCGCTTGGCTATCTAACCGAGCTCTATATGAATATACTTGATTAATAATGAGCGTTCAGTTTTAAAGTATAAGCTACGTAACGATAACTAAAATGCTTCTTCTTCTTCTTCTTCTTCTTCTCATTCTTTTTTATAAGCAAAATGCTTGTTCAATGTCGATTAATGCCTCTATTGGAGGTTATCACTCCATCTTTTGCGTGGTCGCCCGATACTTCTTCTACCTTTTGGTGATTTGTCCCTCGCTATTCTGACTAATCGGGTCTCTTCCATTCTGTTTATGTGTTCGTTCCATTCCTTTTTTCTGTTCAGTGTCCACTCATTTATTTCTGGTATATTGCATTTTCTTTTGATCTCTTCACTCCTCATTCGATCCCTCAGTGTGTTTCCTGTAATTCTCCTCAATAAACGCATCTCCGCTGTTTCTAGTAGTTGCTGAGTTTTGGAGGTATCCGGTCTTGTCTCTGAAGTGTATGTCATTATTGGTCTTATTGTTGCTTTGTAGATTCTTGATTTCACGTCGGTATTAATGTGGGGATTGTGCCATATCGTGTTATTAAGACAACCTGCTATTTTATTATCCTTTTGTACTTGATTTTTCACTTCCTTCTCCACATCTCCGTAGCTAGACAGTGTAATTCCTAGGTAATTTGTCTCCATTACTTGCTCAATGCTGATACCGTCGATTTCCAGTTTACATCTAATTGGTTCTTTACTGATTACAATTGTTTTAGTTTTCTGTGTAGAGATCACCATATTAAAGTCCTTTGCCCTTGTGTTGAATCTATGGGTTAGTCTTTGTAGATCATCTTCATTGGATGCAATTAGGGCCGCATCATCTGCATAGCAGAGTATTCTGATTTCTTTGTTCCCCATTTTGTATCCACTTCCTTTATTAATAGTATTGATGATTTCATCCATGATTAGATTGAATAGTGTTGGACTAAGCAAGTCTCCTTGTCTTATTCCATTGCCCATATCTATTGGATCTGTAAGTTGGTCATCTATTCTGACTTCCATATTGTTGTTCTGGTAAATGTTTTCCTATTGTTTTTATAACATCTAGTGGAATTTCTCTATCGTAAAGAAGGTGAATTACATCTTTAAGCTTTACTTTATCGAACGCTTTCTTCAGGTCAATTAGACATATGAATGCTGGTCTGTTATACTCTAGTGCTTTCTCGGTAATCTGTTTTATGATGAATACTGCATCTGTGCACGATCTTCCTGTGCGAAAACCCTGCTGTTCATCCGCTAAGGTAATTCTCTGATTTATTTGGCCTTGCAATATTTTGGTTGTAAGCTTCAAAGTGGTGTTTAATAAGTTGATACCTCTGTAGTTTTCAGGTTGTTTTTTATCTCCTTTTTTGTATAGTAGGATAAGCTCGCTTTTCTTCCACTCTTCAGGTATTTTATTATGTTTGATGATTTTGTTAATTAGTGCTGTTAGCTGTTCTGTTAATGCTTCTCCACCATATTTCAATAATTCATTTGGAATTCCATCTTTACCTGCAGCTTTTCTGTTCTTCAGTTTTTGTAAAGTTTGTTTTACTTCTTGTACGGTTATCTCGACTTCCTCGTTTGTAATGATTTCTGGTGTTTCTGGTTCTAACATCATTTGCTGTTCATCATTATAAAGCTTCTTTAGGTATTCAATCCATGTATCGTTATCTATGTGTTTCGGTTCGATTAAGTCTTTCATCTCTGATCTTTGGCCTCTTTTGAAACGCCATATTTCCTTTTGTAGACCGTAAAAGTCGTGTTCCATTTCTTTTGAGAAGCGTTCCCAGTGTTCGTTTTTAATTTTTCTTACTAGTGCTATTGTTTCGTTTCTTATCTTTTTGTAATTGTTGTATTCTTGTGGTGTTTTGTTAGACATGTATCTTAAGTAAGCTTTCTTTTTTTCTTTGCATTTTTCTTTCACTTCTGCGCAGAACCACGGAGTTTTCCGCTTTTGGAAATATTTATTTTTCCTTTCTCCTACAGCTTCTTTTGCTGAATCTAGGATGCTTGCTTTAATTTTCGCCCAGCTTTCTTCGATTCCATCACTTTCTACGATGTGCACGTTGTCGAGTTTATCTTTGACTCTCTTTTGGTATAGAAGTTTTGTTGATTCGTTCTGCAGACTCTCGACTTTTACCTTTGTGGTGTATTCTTCTTTTTTATTTTTCTTGTTTTTATTGTTACATATGCGTGTCGTGATTCTGATAACTAAAATGCGAGAGATAAAACTCTAAAACAAGAAGCGATCAGCTTAGCTGGGATACAGTTTTATACTGACTGAATGCTTAAAATTCTGCATTGCAATGCCAGACTATTGCCAAGGGGATGGCAGGGGACAACTTCGATATTTCTATACAGAGGTAGGTAAAACCGACCTTTTGAATTCTTTAAACAGGGAAATTTTGGGAATTGGTCGGAAAAAGTTAATCTGTGGGTAAAAATATCTTTTGAATACATTATAGGCTTTCATGAGAATTTTTGTTGAAGAACTTACCTAGGCAGAATTTAGGACGTGTAAGTTAATTGCTACTAGTTTCGTAGCAATACTTGGATACATTTCTTACAGAAATTGTTCCACTTTGATAACACACGAAAGAGTCAAATATGTCATATATGCAATATACATGGCTTTTATTTTACCTCAATAATTGTGGTTTTCAATACCTTTGATAGGGATAGTAAATCAACACTGTTCAAAGGGAGGTTGGAAGCTGATACATAGCACGTACGTACTCTTCTCCCCTTCAAACACGCTAGAGTCTGGTATGGTCAGTGTCGCGGTAATTTTACTATAAGGTAGTCTAACAAAGTTGTGTTGGAATTTTTATCATTGTATAGATTACATAACTGGTGGCGATAAACTAAACTAAACCCTCTATATTCAAGTGGACATGCACTAACCGAATTTCGAGTGAATTTATCAAAAAGTCAATATTTATTAATTTCACAGTAATGTGGGGTGCCAACGGTGTTCTCTTGTCTTTTCACTATTATCTATTTTCTATTTTTGTTCCGACGTGAACTGGCGAAGAGCGTCTCTACACGGTCTGTGAGATTCCGGCTTTAGAGTCTTGTGACGCGGTCGATATTATGAAGGTATTTGCATTGTTTGCAAGACAAATATTCCATATTCCAGAAAACCGAGAAGCCTTTGCAATGGTGATCGCCAACGACGGATAATTCTGATATGGCACGCGAAGAAGAAAAATTTGCATTGTTGTCACATTTTCTGTTTTTCTGGAAATCTAACGAACTTTCTTATTTCAAATAGAAGAAGAAATATTGATTATTTTTCATGTAATGAAAAATAGAAAAAATTATAAATTTTAAAAAACCATTTCTTTACAATGTTCGTTTCAAACATCCCTGACTGCTCAATTATTCTTATCTCTGTGGTAATCTATCTTTTAATTCCTAAATATTGGTAGGTTTTGTTTTATAAACTATGTTTTTTAAGTGATCCCACAGAAAATAGCCTAAAGGATTCATGTCGAGCGATCGTGGGGGCCATTCGATAAAACCACGCCTTCAAATCTATCTTTTGAGAAACGCATTATTTAGGTATCGCCTCACCACACGCGCATAATGAGTTGGAGTACCATATTGTTGCAGCAAAATATTGTCGTTTGGGATATTGTTATTGTCAGAAAGTTTCGAATATTGAAATTTCTATATTAAAATATAATTAAAAATACTTTAAAAAATATAATTAAAAAGTTTATCTCAATGAAAATTATTCTCAAATTATTTTGTCTCATACTATTGCAGTTTTTCTGGTCGATGTGTGTGGTATTCACGCATCCAACGAGGACTAAAACAGTACACAAACATCTAAAGATTTGTTCTCAGTTGATGCAGTTTTTCTGCGCCCGGATTTGGATAAATTTAAGAATTTTTTAGCATAAAGGGATGCTTTCTAGGGGTTAAAAACTTAAACATCATTTCACAAACCCAATGAAACATCATTTCACAAGCCATGAATGAATTGTTTTTGATTTTAATTCATAATTAAGGCATTTTACATTGTAAAAAATTATTTTTCAACATCTTTTACGTCATAAGGTTGAATAAGGGTTGAAAATTTTTATCAAAGTATAAATAATTATCATTAAATATGTTTATTTTACTCAATTCAATTTGATTTTAATGCATGAAATGCTCAAATACGTGTTTTCCTCCACTTAGGGTAGTTTTAACCCCTTAATGCAAAAAGCACACTTCGCCCAAGACAAGCTTAAATCCAAATTTTCAGCTCAAACCCATACAGCCTGACAGAATTGGGAAGTAAGGGCCCATTTTTCGCCCGAGTATATTTCCTCCGCTGAGGAAAAGTTACCAAAATAATTTATTATTCAAAAACTGTTTACTTTAAAATAAATTTTATAGTTTTTTATATTTTTGTAATTTAGTTTTTTCTGTTCTACTTATCCACTAGTAGAAAAAATTTAAAAACGCCAAAACTTTTACTACGGATATTAGCCAATATCGCTTTTTTAACATAAGATTGTGACAGCTAGATAAATTCACTTCTACTGGCCTACAAACGATGAAAGGAAAAGTGAAACACACTTACCGATTTTGAAGAAAGTGAAATTATGCGCCGTACTCCGCCAAACTGTTAGAACATATCACATAACTAATAACGAAAACAAGCAAATTACACAGAAGGATTCGAATGCACTTTTAATTGGGCTGTTGTGTTTTACGAAACAATGGGAAAATGGTAATAGCAGCCGACGAGATGGTTGCTAACAATTCAAAAGTACCGCGAAGACTGGGTCCCACCATTATTACGAGAATATTGTGTTGCGAGAGTTTGCAACTGGCCTTGACTTAACTGTTACCTAATGCAAGAGAAGGAGGGCGATTTTGCGAGGAATGAGTGGTGCTAGGATTAGTGAATGCACTTAATGATCGTTAGCTACTTCCTGATGTTTGTATTGTGAGCCAACAATATACAAACAGATAACAATAAATAAATACAAATCCACGTTACTTCAGATAATCGAAAGATAATTTTCTTTGCTTCGTACCTTCAGTAATATCATTGACGTAAAATTTGGCACATACGTAGGAAATAAGTCAGATACAAAACTATATAATGACGATGTGTGTTTGGGGTGACTGTCGCCCCTTTTAGGGGTGAAAGTAATTAAACAATTTTAAGGAAAAAATGTTTAATGGAGTACGTCAATAGTTTCCGAGTTACTCGAGGAAAGAAATTGTTGAATTTTTGAGTAATACCATCATGTTTTCGGACAATTTTTTAAAAATAGCTAGAAAAAGGTGGTAACATTTTTACAGAAAAAATAGCTAGAAAAAGCTGTTCTAGGTTAGGTTAGATGCAATATAAGTGGGCGCCTAACTACCCTTCCACTGCACCTAATTGCACCTATTGTGGCTATGTTAAAGTTGTCCCTGTTGTATGTTTTTGCAGATAATGTTCCTTTTAATAGTTTTTGTATGAAACAATTTGCTCGGGAATGGAATTTTGAATTAGAGTTCTCAAGTCCTGATCACCACCAATCAAACGGTTTTGCAGAAAAATATGTTCAGATATGTAAAAATATGCTAAAAAAAATTAGTAACGTAAACGAGCTGCAAAACTGTTTGATGGAATACAGAAATACGCCTCTTACAGGTATAGGTTTCGCTCCCTCTCAATTATTGTTGAACCGTATTCAGCTAAAAAACAGCTAAAAACTTACCTACTCTTCAGAAAGGCGATAATGTGTTATTCCGGAAGAATAATTCATGGCAAAAAGGTAAAGTAGTTGATAGGTATAATGAGAGGTCATATTTGTTAGTTGATACAAAAGGCCAACAATTCAGAAGAAATCGAAAGTTATTAAATAAAACCAACCTGCCAGTTACAGTTTCTGAGTCTTATTTTTCAAATTTATTATATGATGATGCTCCTAGTTCTAGTTTGATGAGCCATGTTGAAAATAATGAGACTGTAAATATGTCATCTGAGATGGAATCTGCTGATGAATTAGAAAACACAGTCATAGAAACACAAAATACCTCAACTGAAACAGCACAGAATGAGGACTCCAAAGATAATGCTAATTGCTGTGACAATCCTGTTGGTAATAATGAGGAACAGCCGTCCATCTCAGATAACATACATCAAGTAACTGAGAGTAACATAGAGCTGGTGTTTGAGAGTGACTCAATAACTCAGTGACTCAGTGACTCAGAAACTGATAAAAATAGTGAAATAAACGAATACCCTTCCGACAGACGTAAAACTAAAAAACCAAATTTAGTTAGAGCCCGTAATGTAAGTTATATGTTTAAAAAAAAAAGAAAATAAAGTTCTCCAGAATAGTTATTTTTATAATATCCACCACCAACGAAATAAAACAGTCCCTTCAGCGCAGTTTGAGCTGAAATTGAGTAAATGTTGAGCTTTATCCTATTAGGCAGTTGTACAGAACGTGTTTCGCTGGTTGCAGATCAGTTTTATCAATATATAGTAGATCTTTGAATCTCTTTTATAAGGGTCCATTTATAAAAGCCTTGACTGAGAAGTTACGCAACCATGATTTTCCCTTGTATAACTAGTTGAAGTATGTTGTATCTTTAATTAAGCATAACATGCCTCAGGTATTGCAGCTCTCGTGTCTTGATGGTTTCCAATACTTCCGTTCTTTTGTTGATTCTTCTCATGAGTTCTTTGTTTATTACATGCTCGGTCCATGATATCTTCAGGATTCTTCTATACATCCACAGCTTAAATGCTTTCAACTTTTTAGTAGTCGACGCGTTAAGTGTCCATGCTTTTATCCCGAGAAGCAGAGTCAAGAAAATATTGCAAATAAACACCTTACCATCCTAACTCTCAAGTTTCAGTTCTCTTGCACAAAGTACCTTTACCATTTTCTTGAAGTTTATTCGTGCTTTCTATATTCGAACTTTGTTTGATATCCGCATAAATTTAGTAATCTTGATGTTTATTGATAATCCATATTCTTATCCATACTCAACTATCTTGTTCATTATCTTTTGGAAGTCTTGGAGGTTGTCTGCTATTATGATAGTATCGTCCGCATATCTAATGTTGTTAATTGGTGTTCCATTGACCTTTATTCCTGCTGTTTCTCCCTCGAGAGCTCTTTTCATAATTTGTTCAGAGTACGCATTGAATAGTAGTGGTGACAATACACACCCTTGTCGCACTCCTCTTTTAATTTCGAACTCTTCTGATGTGTCTTCATTAATGCGTATGTGTACCAGCTGTATATACCTAATATAGATTTGTTATAATTCGAAGGTCATTGTATTGTAATTGTTTTGGTTTGGAGGATGTCCATTAAATCTTTGTAGCGGACTTTATCGAAAGCCTTTGTAATCCATGAAACAGACGTACATATCTTGGTTCACATCCAAGCATTTCTGGATTAGTATGTTGAATGCAAAGAGAGCTTCACGGGTACCTACGCCTCTACGGAATCCAAATTGGGTTTCTTCAATTTCCATATCAAGTACTATTGGAAAACGGGTTTATGGATGATCTGTAAAACTATTTTAAGTGTGTGAGACATCAGGTTTATGGTGCGATGGCTGGTACATTCTCTAGCATTTTTCTTTTTTGGGAGACAAATAAATTTTGAGGTCAACCATTTATTGGGTATCTCACCTGAATGATAAATTTCATTAAAGAGCTTTAAGAGGACATCCGTGTACTCATTTTCTATTGTTTTAAGGTTATCAATAGGCAGTTAATCTGGCCCTGGGCTTTTTCCGTTTCTGGTGTTTTGTAGAGCATACAATATTTCTTCCTTTGTAATTTCTATACTTGCTTCTCTGTTCTCAAAAAATATGTCTCGTAGGTATTCTCTTTCGTCGTCGAAGAGCTCTTCCATATATTCTTTCCATCGTTTTAGCTTTTCGTCAGTCGTTATCGTAGTATTTCCATTTTAATCTAAAATATTGTGGTGGTTTCCTTTTTGTAGCTCTGTCATTTCTTTGACCCTTTTATGTAGGTTAAATATGTCGTATTTGTTCTGAAGATCTTCTATCTCTTAACATTTTTCCTCATAGTAAGTTTATTTTGCCTCTCTATTCATTTTTCTGCTGATTTCATTGTTAATGATTTTGTAATTGTGACTGTGTGTATAATGAAAGTTACATTTTTAAATAACGTTTGACGTTTATCAAAAAATATTATTTTAAAAAATTACAGGAATATCTCAGATTTGTTGTTAACAACAAGAAGGCTATTGCCTACAAGATCGAGGCTAAGTAAGTCAACTATCAATTTTCAGAATCTACTTAAACTACTGCTTAAAACTGGTTGGTTATACATCTTTCCGTAATTTTAAAATATTCTTTTTTTCTTGAACGATTTTCGGATTGAAAGTCGTAACGTCAAACGTTATTTAAAAATGTAATTTTCATTACAATCAATTGTGGCTTAACCCCATACAAACTAAACTAAAATTTTAACACAGAGTATGTTTTTATTTCAACTCTAATAAGAATAACTTGGCAAAACACATTTCTTATATCTTGTCATTCACTATGAATATATTACTAACCTAAAAGGAGAGTAAGTAATTAAATAAGTTTTATAGTACATAATATATTTACCCCATATATGTACCAAACTATGAAGGTCTTTAAAAACACATATAGCACATAAATTGCGCCATTTTATGTATAGGTATACGTTAATCATTCTCAGTATCTCAGTTTTGAAATCAATGAAGTCGTTAGTTCCTATATTTCGAATAAGGAAGTACAAAATCAGCTCATCACTTTTACCCGTAATTTTTAATTTTTCTTTTTTTTGGAAAATACCACGCTATTGTTTTAACAAAATTTTAACTTGTAAAAGAAATAAATAGGGTATTACTTCATCTATACTCTATTCACTATAGGACATATGTGCCTTCAGTCCCAAATGTCTAATACAATTAGTAATTAATTTTGTGTCATGTTGGTCAAATTTTGACTTCGATTAGAGCTGCCTGGAAGTTACTATACAACCAATCACACGTGCTCATACACAATATTAACAGTAAATTTAAAAGTAAATGCATATTTATATGCACATGCAGTTTATCGGCAAGATAAAACTGCTCAATTAAAACAAAGGTTTAAAAGTTTATTTTCTAAATGTTATAGACGTTTATTTTTCTCTGTCTGCAGCAGTAAGTTAATGGGCTATTATAAGTGGTAGGATTCTTTATGTTGTATGTTTCTGAAAATGATTTTGTCAAAATATTCCTAAGCTCAGTGAATCGATCAATATTTCAACAAACGTTAAACTATTTAACATCTTGAATTTTATATGATGTTAAGCAGTTTCTTTATTTTGTTTATTATTAGTGTGAGTTCCAGTTGTTTAAAATCAAAAAAAATTCATTTCAATTTAAGTGAACGTAAGCAGCGCATGCAATGTTTCTGGTTAATAATGGCCTTAGCCAGCGATATACGTCTGACTTATTATGCTTTACTCACCCCAATAATCACTGCAGAATATATTTGCAGCCTTTAACAAGATCGGAGAAGAGCATCTAATAGAAAAGAAAGAGAATTTGGATGAATGACAATATCAAAATGTACAAGAATATTCAGAGGCAAATAAGAACCAAAGTACGAAAGGCCAAAGCATTGCATAAAAACACAGTCTGAAGAGATATAGTTGTGGTAACAAAAATACGATGAAAATTAATATGCATAAAAATGCAAATGCAAAATATACAAAATCAACAGGAGAACATCATCACAGATAAAAATCAAGAAATATGCACATAGACTAAATG